TGGAGGCCTGTACAGAAAGCAACCAACTATTTAGCTGGGCAGTATGAGACTAAATCAATGGTTTGGTCAATCAGACTGTCGCATTAGAAAGCAAGGTCATATCTCTATTTCAAGGCCAAGGCAATTTCAGAGCCTTTAGCAACGTGTGCTGTTCGCACAGCTCTGGTTTCGGAATCTGGACTGCCATGGTTTCAGAAGTGGTCAACAGATGTGTCTTAGATTTAGGTTTGTTCTCCGAGCCGAACTATTTCGTTGCAGAAGTTTCATCAACAACCGACGTGACTACGCCGGTACGTACTAAGCAAAAATTGACAAATGTGAGAGTGCTGTTTGAACTTGGCCCCTTCGATTCACGTCCCGTGACCATGACTAGTTTGCAGTTCGATCGCCGCCTCTTTTAGACTCATGTGGTGAGTGACCCATCTTAAGTTCTTTGCGAACTAGCTATGTTCACGGGACATGAAAAGAAGGGGCCAAATTCAAACATAACTCTCTCATGGGTCAATTTTTGTTTAGTACGCACTGGCGAAGTCACGTCGGTTGGTGATGAAACGTGTGCAAATAAATAGTTCAGCTCGGAGAACAAACTTAAATCTGCACAGACGACCCGAGCTACAGGTATTCTGCCTTATGGCTAGCTATTTCTTAAGCGGTTTTGGGTAGCTTTTGGGAATGATATAAGCGAATTTATATGACTGGTTCATCTGGACTTGATTTCCAGTGTCAACCAAGTGTAGTAAAACGGAACTTTGATGGATTTTACGTTGCCTTTTGTAGTGACGCAGGACAAAGTGCAGCGATTCTTCTGAACAAAAACCTGGTCGTATGTCCAAGATACCTAGCGCCACAGGTGCAGGTGAAAAGGTATAAGACAAACGATTCGGACCGAACCGGGAGTTTATTGTTTAAGTGCTGAAGAATCAATGGTCTTGTTTCGGCAAGTAGTTTTAGATTGGCGGCTAGAAACGTCTTGGTCATTACCGTCAAGATTTTTCTATACAATAGTTCGAAGGCGACGTCACCCTTAAAAGGACCTGTAAGGAATACATTCTTTTTGGTTACTGTAGTGACACACTTGACGACATCAAGCGGTTTGGAGTGCTTTTTGATGAAATGCACTGGGTATCCATTTTCCTGCAGCATGTTATAAATGAGTTTGGCTTTGCTTAGCAGCGCCTCTAGATTACAGATTGCTCTGACACGGTGGTATATACAACGGACTAAGTTCCTTTTGTATCTCAGCTGTACAAAGCTAAGAAGTGGGTGTATTGACCTACCCACGTCGCTTTGCGTTAAACACTCCTTTTGATCGTCCCGTTTGCACGCCGATACAGTAGAACGTCTAAGAGCGCTAAGCAGCCATCTTGCTCAACTTCACTAGTGAATTTCAAAGATGGATGCTCTCTATTAAACTGATTTAATAGCGTTAGATAATCGGTGAAAGAGTCACCGACAATTAAAGTGTCGTCTACGTAACGGTAGAATAAATCAACTGTCGGCCAGATAATGCCTAGAGGAGAACCCACTGAGAATCAATCTATCTGTCTACAATAGATTCCATTAAACAGAAATTGTACATTGAAGGTGCGAAGCTGAATCTTTTTTTAGTTCATTCATCGGAATTCCAACATCAATGTTTCTCTCAGTAAGGAAATCACAAATGTAGGTCACTTTGCCCACCAACGGCAAGTTCGTGAAAAGTGATCCCGCATCAAACGAAAGCATTAATTTATCCTTCACGTTCAGGTTATCTATTCGGTTGCCAGCATTTCGGCTGGGAGAGGCAGAATATTGGCCCAAGTGCCAATGCTTCTAAATGTAGCTGGTTCAGTTGATGGCTGGACAGATTATTCACCTATCTACCGGGATGCGTGGGAAACTTTGTTTC